TTCTAGCTTTGGGCCGACAGGTGAAAGGTATGTAGAGAAAAGGTTGTTAGGCTGCACGCCACAAGTGAGCTCGAGGAACTTGCGCTTGGATTCTCAGTGGTGTCTCTACTCCAGACTTCCATCCACTTGGAAAGGCACAATTAGGTGTCAATCTTTGCGGAGCCTGTTGGCCAAGCAGCTAACAAGGCTTAGGCCCATCTCAATACATTGCGCACCGCAGCGTCCCAGTGTATTGTAGGGATTTGTGCCTTGACCTAGGCTGCTTGGAAGAGGTTTTCGTTGGGTACCAGGAGTAGCACTAGCTGGTATTCTGAGGCGCGTCATGTTGGGTTGACTTGAGCAAAGCACAGAGACGTTGGGCCCCGTCAGCTTGGTTGCGCCCAGAGTTCCACGGCAAGCTTCAGCTTTCTGCGAAGGTGTTCGCACCATTTGAGTTTCATGGGTTGCCCACGTGCTAGCAGGTGGTTCGAGGTTGAACTTTGGGAGCTCAAGGAAACCAGGCCTGCTTGCGGTGATGGGCGGTTGCCATCAGAAACTGGTCTGCGAAGTTCCAGCTGCATGTGGTAGGAGTCAATCTCTGCGGAGCCTGCTGGCCGAACAGCTAACAAGGCTTAGGCCCTGTCAATACTTGCGCACCGCAGCGTCCCTGTATATTCTAGGGATTTGTGCCTTGACATGGAGCAGCACTAGATGGCATTCTGAGTCAGCTTGGTTGCTCCCAGAGCTCCGCGGCAAGCTTAAGCTTCTTGCGCAGGTGTTCGCATCATTTGAATTTGATGGGTCGCCCACGCTGTGCTAGCAGGCATTCCTAGGACTATTGTGGGCACTTGTTTGGGAATTCGTCCATTTTGAACAGAAAACGCTCAGTTCACGCAAAAATGCTGAATTAGGAAAAACACGCTCAATTGGAAGACTGCTCCCGTGGTCACACGCCAATTTCCGCTCATTTCCCTCTGATTTCCGCTCATTTCCCGGGAGACAATTGGCCAAATCCAGGTTTCTGCTCATTTCTTGTTTTTCCGCTCAAAATCTGAACCGAGCCACAAAAATGCCCAGAGCCCCAAAACGTGACGTGGAAGACCTAGGTTTGTCCAGCAGTTGGTTCGAGGAGCTCACTGAAACCAGGCCTGCTTGCAGTGACAGGGAACCGTAGGCTCTCGGATGGCAATCCTTTCGACGTTCCATTACCTGAAAAGCCCTGGCGCTAGACTAGGTCCATCCATGTGCTTCAGCTTCCTGAGGTCAACTTGGTTGGGTTTTGGGTTCACGAAGCCCGGCCTTGTGACGGGGTTGGGCACGACGGCAAGCCCTCCCAGAGCGTCGCTAAGCTCCACGTGGTCAATCTCTGCGGAGCCTGGCCAAGCAGCCAACAAGGCCCGGGCCCGTCGCAGCCCTCACGCGCTGCTGCGTCCCAATGGATTTTAGGGATTTGTGCCTTGGCGCGGGAAAACAGAAGCGGGACAGCTGACTGTGCTCCCAGCAAACTGGTTCTGCGAGCTTTTTGTCTGCAGCGAGGGATTTTGCGAAGCGGTTCCGCGAAGCACTTTTGCACGGTTCTGCGCATCAGGTAAATCACTTGCGCAGTTGGCTGGGACGTTCTGCGAAGGGTTCTGCAAAGCGCTTTGGTGAAGCGAGGCTGCCGTTCCGGAGCTGCGGTGGCACGTTCTAAGTGGCTTTACCAACTCGGTTTGGCAGGGCATCCAGCGATGGGGCCACGTTGATTTGAGCTTTCATTCGCACCAGCCTTTCCTCTTCGCCCTCAGGGTGATCGGGACAGTCGCATGAGAAACTTGAGCACTTGCATAAGTTTTCCACCGCGCCGGAGATGCCACAAGCGCCTGCGAAGGTCCTGGCTGTCGTTTCCCCATTTGGCGAATTAGACTATGAATGTCGCTGTCACAGTAGCAATCATCGTCTCTTCATGGTTGTCGTTGGGAAATCGTCACGGTCTTTGCTTTTTGTGGTTTAGTGGGAAATCCCCACTTAGCTGCTTAAATTCGATTTTTGTTGCTCCCCTTCCCACGTCAACCAAGTCTTCCTCCTCTTCCCCACTCTCTTCAAGCATCTTAGAGGAGTAGCTGGAGATGATTGGATGCGTGGAGGTGTTCCGCGCCCTTTCAGATGGAGCAATGATCGCATGCCATCACCCTGAAGGCAATCACTTTTTGCGTCGCCCGAAATCGTCTTGGAGTGTTGGGTAATTTCAGTTTGGCAATCAAATGACAACTTTATTTTGGTGTGCAAACTTGGCTTTGAGCAGCGCTTTATTCAGAGGCAGCAACGTTTTTCCTGCTTCGCAACGCATGTGCGCCCTGTGGATTGTGCGACTTAGTGCGGCCGCTGCGACCCTTCTCCGTCTCCGCTCTCCATGGTATCTTCGAAGCACATGCGCTTCAATAAGCTGAAGTGTGCGAGAGCGGCCACGTGATGTGTGCAGATTTGGCCAAAAAAGGCTGACGTTGGCAACGATCATTTGCTGAACAGTCGAGCGTTCGCGTGCGAGTGCTTTATGTCCTCCCTGGCACTTGCAGACTCAATTCCCTTGGGCACCGTGAAACTAGCCGAAGCACCGTTTTGGGCAACTCGGCGTTGGTGAGAATCCCAAGCATGCACCATGCTCGTCGTGGTTGACGCGACGTGTGCGCCGCGGAAGCAAAACAGAAGGGTGGCTTAGGTGGGGTTGGCTTGGGTCTTTGCAGTATTTCGATGGTGCCCAACAGGTGGCACGGAATCCATCAAGCCCGCGATTGGTCCAGGCATGTTTTGGGTTAGTTTATTCCCGCGGTTCAATCATTGGCATGGGCAGTCTGTTCCCCGCAAGAGTTGGCCGACTGAGCTGCATTTCCCATTTACGGGTTGCCCAATAAACAGCGCAGCATCCCAAGTGGCAAAGACCAAGGGACTCCTTTTTGTTGCTCCGACTCTCGGATGACCAAAGTCCACTGCGGGCCACCCATACTCCCGAAAGCCAAGGCCCAATGATTGGGATTTGTCAAGCAAGGAAGTCCATCGGCAGAAGGCTGTGCTTTCCTTCCCCGGTTGGCTTTAAAGGGAATCTGTCGCTGGTTGGACATATGTATGTTTTTCCAAGGAAGCAAATGGAGGATGAGTTTGCTTGCATTCCAGGGGAGACAAAGGCCGTTCAAACCGTGAACCACAGCAATACAAACACAGACACAGACACAGACACCAGACACCAGACACCAGACACCAGACACCAGACACCAGACACCAGACTCAGGACACAGGACACAGGACACAGGACACAGGGCACAGGACACAGGGCACAGGGCACAGCGCACAGGACACAGGACACAGGACACAGGACACTGAGACACAGAGACACAGAGACACAGACACACAGAGACACACAGAGATACACAGAGACACACAGAGACACACAGAGACACACAGAGACACACAGAGACACACAGAGACACACAGAGACACACAGACACACACAGACACACACAGAGACACACAGAGACACGCAGAGACACGCAGAGACACCGAGAGACACAGAGAGACACAGAGAGACACACACAGAGACACACACAGAGACACACACAGAGACACACAGAGACACACACAGAGACACACACAGAGACACACAGAGAGACACAGAGACACACACAGAGACACACACACACAGAGACACGCACACACAGAGACACACACAGAGACACACACACACAGAGACACACACACACACACAGAGACACACACAGAGACACACACACACACAGAGACACACACAGAGACACACACAGAGACACACACAGAGACACACACAGAGACACACACAGAGACACACACAGAGACACACACAGAGACACACACAGAGACACACACAGAGACACACACAGAGACACACACAGAGACACAGAGACACGAGACACACACAGAGACACACACAGAGACACACACAGAGACACACACAGAGACACAGAGACACACACAGAGACACACACACAGAGACACACACAGAGACACACACAGCAGAGAGAGACACACACACAGAGACACACACACACACACAGAGACACACACAGAGACACACACAGAGACACACACAGAGACACACACAGAGACACACACAGAGACACACACAGAGACACACACAGAGACACACACACACACACAGAGACACACACAGAGACACACACAGAGACACACACAGAGACACACACACACACAGAGACACACACACAGAGACACACACAGAGACACACACAGAGACACACAGAGACACACACACACACACGCACACCTACTTGTTTTGTTTTAATATACTGATATCATATATGGATACATACATATGTATATATATATATACACATATGTGTGCACATATTCTCGTATAGAATATCTTTCTTCAGGAGAAGGAATGCTGGATGTGGCATTCGGTATTGAGCAACCTCCTCCAGGTACACCCAAATACGCATGCAACCGCATCATGTTTCACTCCACAACCCCATTCTCATAATTTAGACCCTCGCAGTAGCCTGTGCTTGATTCTTTTTGGGTGAATGTGGACCCTGCAAACGCACTGGCTTTTTGTGCTGCCAACAGCAAATCGCAGTACTGAAATGATCAGAAACCCATTGTCCAGGTGGTTTCCTTTGGGTTCCCCTTGAAGCCATCCACAAGGGAGCTAGCTCCATGGAAGATTTCATCCGTCACCAGCTTGCTGGTGACATCGGGTTCATTCGGCGATGGTCAGCACGTTTTCCACGCCCGGGCCAGCCTCACTCAGTAGTTGCTATTTCTCAGTCGGACATGAGGACATGACCCTTATGAACCATCCCGCTTGGTTTTCCTTTAGGGGATCCCCTTCCAGTTCATTCCCAAGCCCGCTGTTGACTCGCTAACCCGCAAGAGTGTCTCAAAATTGGGGCCCGAACAAAACATGTTGGTTTCCTTTTGGGTGTCCATATGCCATCCAACAACAAATTCGTTTACATATCGAGAACCAGCATATCACGCGCCGTTCAGCGCAG